TTTAAAAAGATCTCATCATTTTACAGATTTAAATCATTTCAGAAAGATTTAAATCAATAAAAAGATTTAAATCATTTTAAAAAGATTTAAATCATTTTAAAAAGATTTAAATCATTTTAAAAAGATTTAAATCGTTTTAAAAAGATTTAAATCGTTTTAAAAAGATTTAAATCGTTTTAAAAAGATTTAAATCGTTTTAAAAAGATTTAAATCGTTTTAAAAAGATTTAAATCGTTTTAAAAAGATTTAAATCTAATTTTTAAATAAAAAATCAAAGATACTTTTCAAAAAGATTTAAATCATAAATCAAAAATCATTTTTTAAAAAAAGATTTAAAATCAAAGTATTTAAATCAAAAAATGTATTTAAATCAAAAAATGATTTAAATCTCACTGATAGGTGACAGCTCTGGGTATACCTCGGGGTATACCTACATTATAATTATTTTATATATTTTGAAATTTGATATATTTAAAGTTTTACCTATTTTCGGGAAAACTAAGTATACTTACTTGTAGGTACAAAACCTAAAAGCAAAAATTATGCAATTTTAAGTTTTTTGTATTATTTAAGATAAACACCTATTAAGAATTTACAATTTTGCTTATCAACTCTCGAGAAAAAGTGTGCAAAAATGAGTGTATATAAAAACAAATGCAAACATTTAAGCAAAGGTTATGATCACTTCTTCTTGATATTGACAATAACTTTTGACATATATGAAATAAAAACCGCAAAAACCCTACTAATATTTTTTAATTCTCAGGTTTTTCCAACCCCGGTAAAACAACGTCAATAATTATATTATTTAAAATACTGTTGGGACCAGGAAAATTAGAAATTAGTAGCTGTACTTCTGATAATACATAATTGGATAATAACAGTGTAAGATGTAAAAGAAAGTGTCATATCTGAGCTGTGATTTGAGATAATTTGTGAAATATCTTTATTTACAAAAAATTTACTATGTCAATATTCATTTGCCCAAGATATGGAACTAAGATTTTTTTGTTTTCATGTAAAAATGAAATGTAAAAATTATAGCCCAAGAGCCCACTGCAAAATTTTACCGTCATCTGATAACGAAATGAAAAATACTCCAAAAGCATGTAAAAATATTGTACTATACCGAATAGCACCTGTGCCAATCCCAATCCTGAGCAAAGTAGTTAAAAAAAATTATTTTAGGTATATTAAAAAAAAAAAACAAGGCGCTAATTTTGTTTGCCCTTAAAGTTTTCCAGAAAATAACATATTTAAATATATCGTTAAAGAGAAATATTTTCTTCCTCTTAACATCGCACAAAAAGATCTATCCACGATTAGTAGTTACCTCGGTAGTTACAAATCTTTAAAAATATGAATCAATTTTTGCTTAATTAAAAATTTATTTGTATGCCTATTGTTGTGATTCATTTTTACAGGTTGCCATAGAAACGACAAAAAAACTACTAAGGCTTTATAATAATTATTGACTATTTCTGCAAATGGTTTATACAATGCCATCCTTCTTTCTTTCACACATGCACAAAGTTTAAAAGGTAGGTAAAAATTTAATAATTCAGGTTTAAAAACTAGGTTCATAATGAATTAGAATTGTAATTATCAGGGCAAACAAAATTGTCGCTGTCATGTCTCATGTAATTTTTTAAATATAAAATAATTTTTTTTAGCTTTGCTCAGGATCAGTGGCGGTTTCTGACCCAAATTTTAGGGGTTCACAGTGACAGGATATAGATATATCAGTACAGATTTATAAAAAAACTTTCACCGTTTTAGAAAGTTTATAATAAACACTGACAGTTTTTTACCTACATCTGTACCGAGATCTATATTTTGCTGCTGTGAACCCCCAAAATTTTGGTCACAAGCCGCCCCTGCTCAGGATAGAGATTGGCACAGGTGCAATTTGGTAAAGTACAATGTTGTTACATGCCTTTGGAGCATATTTCATTTCGTTATCAAATGACGGTCGAAATTTGCAGTGGGCTCTCTTACTATTATGTATTTAACAGAAACGAGAATCCAAATTTTTTAATAGAAAATATTTTGATGATTACTACCTACTTATTATTATTTCTATCTTGAAACAGGTTTTTAATACTTCTTGTGAAATTAAATTGCAGATACAAAATAAATGAATGTAATTTTCTAAAGGTAGGTGGGTACCTATAAGAGGCTATTTAAGACAAAACATTTCTATTTTTAAATAGTGAATTAAAAGTATCGTTTTACTATTAAATATGTAGGTATAATTCTCATATTTTAGGTATAAATACACCTACAAAAAATAATTTAGCTTTTTCATAATAATAAGATTCTACTTTTAAATGTAAAGCACGGTTACGTTTGATTTTATGGACTTACTGTTTGATCAATTTCACTTTTGTTTTTGATTTAAATAATATTAAGTATAATAACTCACCTTAGGTAAAAATTATATATTTTAATTAAATACTTTTTAAAAATAAGTAAACGAGTATGTCATTAAATTTAACCTAAATCTTGAACATTTTATTATTTGACATTTCTGGATAAGCGGGGTTGCCAAGATTAATTTATTACTTGTGACTATTTCTAATTGTTTTTTGCCTATATGTTTTGTTCTTGTTCATTTCTTCTAATTAATCCAATTTTTTTGAAAAATTTCTATTTGTTATTGTAATATATATTGTTTAAGCTGATATGATATTTTATTTTTTGATCTATGTTAGAGATCGGGGAGCCATGTTTCATATTGATTATACGGTTTCATCCTACTATTCTGAGGTGGTAATTTCGAAGTTTTAGCACTAGTATAGGTATTAAAATAACTTATTTTTTATAATGTTTTAACTGAAATTACATTTGTAAAAATATATTTCACTTGTTATTTTCATAAATTAAATTAATGTAATTTTCTAGGAAACTAATGTTACTTACTTAATAAATAAAATTTTATTTTTAAATAGGTAGCTCATTATTATAATTTTCAATTGAAAGGTATTTAGATATAATTCTCGTATTTTAGATATAAATATACCTATAAAAAATAATTTAGTTTCTTTATAATAGATAAAAAGCTTCGACTTTAAATGTAAAATTAAAAATTAAACCTTACTGATACTTTTAATACTATTTCTTTATTATTAATTCAAATATTTTTAACTTTTTTTCAATACAAATCGGAAGAACGAAGAAATATCCCTAATTTAAATAGAACTTTGGACATACCCTCTCAAAATCTCCACATTCCACGCACTCTTCTTCAAACGCCTTATCCATAAAAACTCCAAGATAAAATCCCAAACCAAAAAACAAACGAAATGCCAAGCATTAACCAAAAAAACACTAAAAAATAAAAACTACACCAATCGACAGTGTTAAATCATTTCGCACCAGCACGTTACGAACGGATCTGCGCGATCTCAACACCAACAATTTGTATGGACAACACGCGATGCTCTCTCAGCAAAGTCTCAAAATGAACTGACGTTCCGTTTTGCGCTAGCGCTAGCGAACGGCATGGGATAAGAGATTCGAGAAACGCAGGACGAGGCAGGGCTTTGAATAGGAAAAAACGCAGTCGAAACTCCAAAGGGTCTTTTCGTTGTGTGTTGGTAAAACAGCGCTCGAGCGAAGCAGAAGCACACGACGAAGAACCGAACTAGAAGTAGAGTAGGAAGGTAGGAAGCCCCGATGAGATGCCTGTGTTTACGTTTAGATTTTGGTATTTTAGTCCTTTGGAAGGTCTCAGTCAAAATGTTAGATCGAGGTGCGATGAAATAACAAATCCGATTAGGAGCCGAGATGTTTTGCGATAAGTGGTGTTGGTAATTAGGCTTAGCAAATAATTCTTGTCGGTTTATGATGAATAGATATCCTATTTATGAAGATACAGATGTTGGTTTTGTGGTTAAATGATCTCATTCGATTGACCTGTTTGGCTTTGGTACTAATAAAAACATGTTGTTCGGGAGGATAAGAGGAATGAAAGATTTAAAAATACCTCATTCGATTTTAGATTAATTTTATTAAGATTAAGATACACACAATTTTTTTAATTACTTTTGTTTATAATAAAATCAAGAATTTTTAAATGAACAAACCGAATTGTATCTACATTTAGGGACAAGCGTGTTAAGGGTGTTTTCGCGGTTCACTATTTTAGCATTACCCATGTACGAGTATCTTAGTTAATTGTCATCGGTATAATTTCATTTTTTGCAGAACTAATCAAAAGAAATACCCTAATAATCTCTAGTCTTTTAATTTTTTTGTTACACCCTAGTTTTTTAAATAAAAATTTAAAATGAATATTAAATTTTATCAATTTGCAGATATCAATTTTTGAAAAACTAGGGTTTGTAGCTGAATTTTTGAAAAACTAGGGTTTGTAGCTGATTTTTTTTGTTTTGTTTCTATTTACACCTTTTTGGCTAAAATCAAAAACTAATTTATTTTGTAGTAAACCGTTTTCCAGTAATATTTTTATTTCGAACTTGTGAAAATATTTCCCTCTTTATCATATAACTGTAACCAACGGTAGCCTGGATTAGCAAATATACAAAGTGATTCCGCCAGGGACTAACTCGCTCTTTTAATTGTAAAAATTTAGTATAATATATTTTTTATTATTATTTACGTGTTGTGTAACTAAGTATGAAAGTATGCAGTTACTAGCAGAAGGTTGGACTATTTTTATTATACATTTTACCAAAGAAAAAAAATTAATTTGATTGATATGCGAATATGATTTTTATTGATTAATTTCCAAATTATATCGGAATTCATGAATATTTTGAGAAACATCTCGAGTCGAAAACAATGGTCAGTTTTCAAAATATTCCTAAGAACAGATTATATTAATTTGTAATTTATTGGAAATATTATAAAAGTACCTTTATTATTTTTGCTGATTTCAAATCCTAATATATTAACATCCCACAATGTCTTTTCGACAATAATCAGCTCGCAAAGAGTTGGTAAGTAAAAGTATTTTTGAAGCAACTTGGGAGGCCATGGAACAAGCAGGACTGGAAGAATTGCAGTTAGCAAAAGATATTGGAGAAGTAGATGAACAAGGAAAAGGTCTAATTGCAGTGATTGTTGAAGGTGCATGGTTAAAGCGGTCATAAAAGTTAATTATAACGCTTTATCTGAACTGATAACTTTATATTTTAATAACGTGTGATCCAATAACAATGTTTCTAAACTAAGCCATGACCGACAGAATTGTGATTTTTCCATGGTCTACTTTAGAAACATTTTTATATTTAACACAACATATAAAGGGTTTATTTTTAAATGCACTTATTTTCTACAAGCTTGCATTATTGGGGCGAAAACTGGAAAAGTTTTGTTTGTTTATTTTAAAAGTAAGTATTGTCTTATCTTATAAATGTTCAAAAAATTGGAATGGTTCGTCGACTTCTATGAAATCGGAACTAATCTTAGAAGGATTACTAGACCGGGAGGTAACGACAGAAATTTCCGGGTCATTTTCGCAAGTTTAATTCTTTTTGTATTAGTTATGCAAGTAATATGTAACTCTAATATGAACATCTTCCGACGCATCCTTACGACAGGGGGTTTCAGGAGGGTTGCAATTACAGTAAAAAAAAAATATAAAAAAAATAATTTTCGCATGCATGAAACTTGTTGTACACGTTAATTTAAACAAACAAAATTTAGAAAATATCGTCTTCCACCTAAATTTCATGACAAAGTACGTCTTCCACCTACCTAAATAAGCAAAAAAAAAATAAAAAATAAAGAAAAAATAAAAATAAGACTTCATCGACTGCGATTTGTTCGAATACTAATTCTCCTAAATTAATATTTAAAATATGACAATTTGTCAAAGTTTTTCCTTCAAGAAGTTGGAAAGTAAATTATCTCTGAGGATGAAATTCTGTTGACAATAATAGATTTCTTTAAGGGATTGACATTCTTCTCGTTCAAACTGTGTATCTTGATGTTATCGTGCCAAATAGGGGAATAAAGATGTACATATACAATTTTTGGCTTTGTATAATTGAGAATAAATGATAAAATTCAAAGGTATTACTTTCAAAAATAGGAAAATGTATTGCAAAAATTAACTTAGATTCTGAAATTGATACTTACGTTCCTAATTCTGATAATACGTCAATAAATTTGTAAATTTCAGAATTTGATCAACATTATATATTTTATGTAAATATTTTATAATGTTTTGCATTTTCTAAATAATCTATAAAAGAAATTGTCATTTGACAATCTAAGTCAATTTGTGATATAATGACCTGAAAACTAATATAACTTTCAAGTGCATCGATTCTATTTTAAATAGCTGCTTGAATTTTTTCCATATCAACTTAAAAATTGTTTTGATTTTTTCCCAAGAATGTGATTGATTTATTATAATGATCAACATGCCTTTTGTACAACGAAATTTGAAGATTTGTTTCAAGGATAATATGTTTTTGATTTACTTGCAATGTTTTGATAGCATTATTATATTTTTCTTCGTCATCAGAATCAAGATTTCCAAATAGCCACTTGTTAATTTTTCCAATTGTATTTATTAAAGCTCTTTTATGTCTTGCATGAGGAATTAAATTATATTAATCTTTTTCTGAAGAGTAATTATAAGATATTCTGTTCTTGTTAACATATTTTGTGATAAGCTATGGTAAGATATAGGGTTAGTTGCATTAACATGAACTATACTATGTTTGATCGATTTAAATTACTAACTTGTTTAACTACTTCTAAATCTAAATAATGTAAAAATGTATGTTTCCTATATATAAGTTTGGGATTTCCTAACTGAATAGGAAGCAGATTTCCAATCGGAGTGATATGTGTATCAGAAGATGTACTATGTATTTGCTATACATAAATGACTTGTAGAACTTGTACTTGGAACAGTGTCGTTATTAAAATGGATTTCATTTTCGTTGGTATTCTATAATAATTTCTCTAAATTATTTTTCGGTTTTCTAACAATACTTTTATGATACGTACCCTTATCATTTTTTTTTAAATACCTTTATCTTCAATGACATTTGCCTTATTAAATTTTGGTAATTTTTTATTTCTTGATTTTGTTTTGACAAAACATGAGTTTTCATTAGAATAGTTATCTGGTTCAGATCTCTTTTCATTTAATTTGTTTATTAAATTTTCTTTTACTTCTTCGTTACGTTGTTTAATTTTGTTATACATCTGTTTACTAATTTGTTTATGATCTTGTACATAATTAGAAATTGTTAAGTGATCGTCTAAAACAAAGGGATTTGGATTATCAATGTGTCCTTTAATTATTTCAAATAGCGTAAACTTTGTCACTGAATGTATGCTATTATTATAACAAAACACAGAATTTTTAATTAGTCGATCTGGTGTGAAATGTTTGTTTTCTTCTTGTAAACATCTATAATGTTCTAATAGACTTAGAATGAAACCGTTCCACTAGGGAATTTGAATTACTATTTTTTCCGGTAGTGATATGTAACTGGATATGGTGTAGTTTACAAAAATCTTCTAAATCGAAATTTTTTAATTCTGTTCCACTATTGGTAGTAATTTTTTGTAACTATAGTAAACGGATGTTTTATTTACTTCGACAGAAAATTTATTATTTGGAGTGAGGGTAGCCATATGTGAGTAGTAGGGATTAAGTGTAAGGGGTTAAAGAAAAGGTCCTTTATTTCTCACAAGTCACTTGTGAGAAATAAAGGACCTTTTGTTTAACCCCTTACACTTAATGAAAATTTATTAATTTTTAATAATTAAGATAATAGAAAGTGAGTACTTCCTACACTGAAATAGTTATACTAAAAAAACTAAATATTGTTTATTTTAATTTATATTTATTGTATTTAAAAATGTACATATATTTAATTTGAACATGCCTTATAACATATAGCTTTTACAAATTCTATTCTAGATATTTATTTACTTTTAAATTTACCTATCAAATTTGTTACATATTTTAATTTTCTTTCATAATTAATATTTTTTGTGAATGTAAGCTATTTAATTGCACATAAGTTCCTACTTGAACATTTTTTAACTCATTTAAAAATACAAAAATATTAGGATGCGGAGAATAAAATCTTTTATTAAAATGGCTATGAAAAGATTCACAGGCGTTGGTTGTCCGTTCTCGGCTTGGGCTACATGAAGCCCACATTTATGGAGGAAATCTCGCAGATTCAGAAATGTAATTATCCGTTAAATAATCGCGTACACCGATATTTTGTACACGTAGATTGTACTCTATCTTTACGAAATGTAAAATTATTAATTACAATTAATTTCCTGCCACGTTCGCTCAACATAAACTCCATTTTAGAAATACTATATATTTATTTGTGATTTTTGTATTTATACATGTCATTACGAAAATAGATATTGGAATAGTGTAATTCTAAGAATTTGTTTAACTACCCTAATGTTTGCGAGAATATACCCATCAAAAACAAATTTATGAATAACCATATTCAAAAGCTCATTACGAAAATGCATTGAAGATAATTTTCTTAATCCTTTCGTTGTGCGCAATCACAGTACCCGTCTTCAGGTAAATTTCAGAACCCGAGGAGGTATTTGACCGCCGCGCGCAATCACAATATACCGACATTAAAAACTCTCCTTACCACACATTTGGAAATCATTCAAACTGTGCACAATATTTTTGTAAAAGAGAACAAAACGACAGAGATTATGTGACAGAAATGGAAGAATACGAACTAATGGATGACATTGTTTCTGCTGAAAATAGGCTAGTTCAAAACAGCCACAGTTTATTATTAAACATGACTAAGAATGCTGCAGAGACATATAATTCAATCGTAGCCAAATTTATTAGAGGAAAGAGAATTAATTTTTCAGTTAAAGGAGCATATATAATATAAAATAGAACTATATTCCCATTCTTTATAAAAAGCTGTCAAAAAATGTTCCTGGGATTCACACACAAACAGGGCCGCCGAGAGCCAGGTCTGGTCCCAGTGACAATTTTATAAAAAACACACTTGACCCCGGGCCCCGGGAATTGATCCCGGCTACCCCCCCGCTCTGGTCGGCCCTGCACCCAAAGATTAGTTCTCAAATAAGCAAACGTAGATGTAGAAAAAAAAACAGGGGCCTTCAATTAAAAAAAACGTAAAAGTGGCGCAATTAAAGATAGGGACTACGGACTTCAATGCGATGATGATGACGATGACGAAGTTTTGGAACAAAAAAAACTGCAATTTTTGTATGGTTCGCCAAAATCAATAGATAATATTTGTAAAATTGAAGTATCTACTAGAGGTCAAGCCAGTAATGATCTGTGGAAAGAACATCGTAGTAATATGCTCACGGCTTCAAATTTTGGAACCGTTTGCAAATTACGCAAAAAAGACTATTAATAATATATTATTTTCATCTTTTTACGGATCAGTCGCTACACAATGGGGACAAGATTATAAATATAATGCGTTAGAAGAATTTAAAAATAAATATGGAAAAACGCTTCAAGAATGTGATTTATTTATTTATGGAAAACATCCATACTAATAATACTTTAATATTAATGAAATAATTTTAAGTAAATGTCCATATTCTTGTTCCAGAAATGGGAAATCAAGAAAAAAAATTAAAAATCTAGCTCTAATACAAATGCCAAATTAAATTAAAAAAAAAAAGATAATTATTATTATCAGGTACAAGAACGATTGACTATAACGAAAGCCAAATATTGTGATTTTATAGTTTGGACCCCACTAGGAATGTTCGTTCAGAAAATTGAGAGAGATAACAATTTTTGAATATGTTCTGAATCAAAGTTAGTTGATTTTTATTTATAATATTTAATAAGAGAAATTGTAAGAAGAAATTGATGTAATTTATTTTTTTTGTAATTGTATTTTGTAATATGTGAAATAAAATGTTTCATTTCAGGTAATTAAAATTTTTTTTCATTTAAGTATTTAATTTATTTTGACCTATTTTTACTTTCAGTGAACGAAGAAAAGATAAAAACAATACATTATATTTTTTATAAAATATACATGGGTAAGATAAAATAGTTTTCAAAAAATGTTTCTTCTATACTACAAATTAATTGTGAGATTGATGAGATTATTTAAAAAAAAAACAAATATTTTATATTATGTACCACTGTATATTAAAGCACTTTCTAAAAATCAGTTTCTTGCTTAAAATATATCATAAATAAAGCCATCCAAAGCTTTCGCGCGGATACCAAGTGTATATTATCGAATATAAGTAATAATAACAATAATAATGTTTATTTACAAAAAATATATATAAAACTCCTTTACTATTTCATCTTAGAATATAAATAAATTCAATTTAAATGTAGATCGGTCACTCCTGATATGTTAAATAACGTTAGAAGACATTTTTATTGCCAAGAGGTTCGCAGCGAGCATTTTGAACATCTCCTACATTGAGATGTTTTTTTTGTTACATTATCAAGAAATAAACAGTATTTCTTATTTTATTAATATTAATTTTTGCAATAAATCGGAAAACATTTAATATTTCCGAAACAGTTAGGTATAGGACATAGTACACAAAAATATGTCTAGAATTTTTTGAAGAATCTAAAAATTGAAAAATATACAGGGTGTTGCATTTAAAATTAGAAAGTTAGTATTGGCCACTTTTACATGACCACCATGTATAAAAAGTTTGTGTTAAAAAAATGCGCAACTAAAAATACGTTTTTCCGAACACGCTTCCATTTGTTTATTACCGAATTTATTTCATTTGGCTGTTCCACACTGTATTATATTATTATTATATCAGTATTTGTTGTGAGTTGATTGCGTTCAGTTTCATTTATAAATAAAAAATATAAAAGAACATATTTTTTAATTCATTATTTAAGTAACAGGATAGGTAAGATACCTATATACATTTTATACGATAGTAGACATACTGGGTGTCCCAAAAGAAACTAATACAATTCATAAAACCTTTAAAATAAAATTTTGGCGAAAATGCAAAACCAAATTAATTTGAATCGATTTATTGTTAGAATTTTTTATCTTATCTCACGGAGCTGTGACGTCATTTTGTTTAAATTTGTTTAATTTTGTTTAATTTTATTTAATTTTATTTAATTTTGTTTAATTTAATTTTGTTTAATTTTGTTTAATTTTGTTTAATTTTTTTTAATTTTGTTTAATTTTGTTTAATTTTATTTAATTTTGTTTAATTTTGTTTAATTTTATTTAATTTTGTTTAATTTTGTTCAATTTTGTTTAATTTTGTTTAATTTTGTTTAATTTTGTTTAATTTTGTTTAATTTTGTTTAATTTTGTTTAATTTTGAAAATTATATATCAGGAATCAAGTTATTTTTTATGTTTAGTTATATGAATTGCATTACCTATTTCATTTGTTTATATTAAAGTATATAATTAATAGCGAGATTAATACCTTTTGTTCTTTTTTATCCTTTAATTACAATTACCTTTATTACTATACATTTATTTTTTTTACATTAGGAGAAGTAATTTCGAAAATAGATATTTATTATGAGAATAATATAATGACTAAATATAAAATATTCAATATTCCAGTTCTTTGTGCGTGTTCATAATAATAATAGGTAAGTACGAGTATATACAGTGTTGCCAGACCTACTGTTTTAACACTAGATTTACTGTTTTTGTCTCTGTTCTACTCTTTTAGGCATAAAATCTACTGTTTTCGCCAACTTGGCAAATTTTGTTCTTGATTTAGTAGGTTTGCCTCATTCTTCAGCAAATCTACAAAGGATAGTTTCTCGAGTAAATTTGCCAAAGTCAAAGCAGCGTAAAGTTGAGTATTGTAGGTTTGAGCCACAGAGAATATTTAACTTTAAGATAATCATCATGTTTTGATTTAAATGCAACAAAAAATTAATAAATAATAAGAACATGCCATCGAATACAACGTTTTTGAAAGAAATACCTATTATTTTTCATTTGTTTTCTGGCATTAAGTTTTACAAATTTTTATTGTTTTTATTCTTTGTTTAACTTCTAATTTGGGTATAGAAGCAAAAAATGATTATTTTTCGTTTTTATTATAATTATTTACGGGTTCTTTTTATTTATTACAATGCAAATTATACTTATTTCCCCTGTATTAAAATCTACTATTCAGTTTCGATGATCTACTATTTTTTCTCACCCATCTCCTGTTCCAGCAAATTTTCATCTGGCAACATTAAGTATATATTACTATAAATCGTTTATCTACAACTGTCATTATATGGATGTATTATATGCGTATCTAAGGCAACATAAAGCAATCCATATATTACTAGTGAGAATATATTCATATTACACGATTTTTGTCAATTATACCCCACTAGAATTAAAAATCATTAGATCTAGTATGCGTTTGACAAGTTAGTTGACAGCATGTTGACAGTTATTCGTTGTTCCCGATTCGTTTTTGAAATTAAACTTAAAATATTAAGCCCGTTTTAAGTGTTTATCAATTAAAAAAATGGAAGACGATGATTACATGGAACTAACACCTCCTGAAATCCGCGACGCTGCTAAAGTGGCGTTTACCTGAAATATCGAGGAAAAATTATGAGATTGCATACAACAGATTTATGTCGTGGAAACAAACAAGAAATGTATCCTCTTTTTCCGAAGACACTGTGCTTGTAAATTTTATGGAAATTTCTAGTAAATACAAATCGTCTACTTTATGGACAAACTATTTCATGCTAAAAAGCATGTTAAACATCAAGCATAATGCCGACATCGATAAATATTTGAGATTACGTGCTTTGTTGAAAAGACGATCCGAAAATTACGAACCTAAGAAATCTGAAGCTCTGACTGGTCAACAAATTGAGAGGTTTATAAAGGAAGCCCCATATTTTAAATATCTTGGAACAAAGGTAAAAACTGGAATCGAAAATCAAAATTCTTTAACTTAATCTACACATTTTTTTAATGTTGCCTTGATTATGGTGGTCATGGGTGCTTGCCGTTCCTGTGAGTTAAAGAATATGAAAATTGGTGATTTAAGATGTTTTGAGGATGTTATCAAGTAAACGTGCCACACACAAAAACCAAAGTCCCAAGGAATTTCACAATTGTGGATAATTTTATAAAAATCGTTAAAAAATATATAGACCTCCGGCCCGAAAATGCACCACAAGATTTTTTTCTCAATTTCCAAAAAGGAAAGTATACAAAACAAGTGATAGGAATAAACAAGTTTAGCGCAATGGGAAAGCAAATTGCTACGTTTTTACAATTACTAAACCCCGAGAGATATACTGGCCATTGCCTCAGGCGTTCATCTGCAACATTGGTTGCTGATTCTGGAGCTTCAATGACAACATTAAAACGTCATGGAGGCTGTAAATCCGCCTCCACAGCAGAAGGGTACATCGCCAATTCAAAAAAGAACAAAATAGAAACAGCTCAAGCAATTTTAAGTCAAATCAATAATGAAAATTGTGTTGGTCTTAATAATCCATCCTCTTCTAACAGTGATCGTCATGATTCTGTACTTATCAATAGCAACACTAATTTTTCTTTAAAAAACAATAATCTCGATGATATTACCGGAGCTATTAATATTTCAAATTGTAATGTTACTATTAATTACATCAATAAATAACTTTAAGCGAGTTCCTGTATAAATTGGCGTTTTATTTCACACGGTGGCTTAAATACTCCTCATTTGGAAGGTCTTTTAATTGTGAACAATCTTGTCAATTCTATTTATAACAACTTCAAAGAATTTTTTCTAAAAATCCCCTTTTCGTTTTCGGTGAGTCCCCGTATTCAGTTGTAGATATGTAGTTGTATAGTATGCAATTCGTGTATAATGGACCATACTACACTCGAATATTTACAACACTCGTGTAATATGGTCAACATTATACACTTATTGAATAATATACTATTATAGATTCATTTTTAATAATTACTACCCATATAATTCTTTAATTTATTGATAGGTACGTCTTGTGCTAATAATTACAAACAATAAAATCTGGCATTTCTTAATAAAATCTCTGCTTTCAGTGATTTACTTTTATGGGGATGAATTGCATTATACAAGCCCAAAATTAAAAAACTATTTACAATATTCTACAACTTATTAAAACAATAAAGTAATATGATCCCTAAAATCCCAATTTCAGTATTTCTGCAAATGATGTGAAATGTGAACGTTTTTTTATAAGGAACAAAACCCTGCGATTATGAGAAGCTTTAATTCCCTCTTCATATAAACGCATGTTGACCACGTCGATGTAGGATTATAATGGTCAAAAAGCTTCAATCGAAAGGGATTTACAGAGACATGGCAAAAAAGTGTCAGATATCATAAATACGTTGATACGTGTGTGTGTATGTGTGTGTATGTGTGTGGCGAAATATCCATTTGAAGGGTGTCCGAACAGGGTTGGTCTTACTTGAAAGGGCGCTTCGTTTTGTAAAAATCTGAACAAATTAAAATCGATTATATTTAGCTCATAGAGTTTACAAAATGAATGTTTGTTTTGTTTGGTTAAATTTCGAAAAATTGGATTTAATGTCCTGGTCTATTTTATTTAGTTACACTTGGAGGGCTCAGAAGTTAATCAGTAAGTCACAAAAAAAAAATTTGAAATAAGTGGTATTTTATTTTAATTGGTCATACAAAAATACAATATCTGTAAAACTGCAAAGTACTTTTTTTTATTGAAAGATAACATACCTACATATTCAAATACAAGAAAACTAAAACAAAAGTAAGGAAATTTTAAAAAATAAAACGAAATTTAAAAAAAAACTGACTTAAGCTAAATGTCCTCTGAAACTTTATTTATTTAGTCTATGTAGTCAGAATCGTCACTATCACTGACATTATTTTCTACCCTCATATTAACTTTCGAAGCTCGGGTTCTCTCATTAACTACTGGCAAAGGGTGGTAGTGCAGGGAAATGTAAGGCAGCAAATCAGACATGTGCTTCTTTTTAACCGGCTTGACAGGCCTACGATTTGGATAAAGTGGTTCTTGAACAATATTAACCAAATTGGGAGGCCTTCCTTTTGCAGGAGCCTTTGCAATGTTGATCTTATTAAACGGATAATCGTTTTGCAGTGTTCCTTTATAAAATATCGCATTTGGTTCATTTTTGCAATACCTAAGCCATTTTATTTGTAACCAATTGACTTAACCCTCGTCAGTATTGGTTTTTCTATTACACATGGACTCTTCTAACGCTTTTGTTGAGACAAATTCTTCTACCAGAACCCTCGTCACAATTAGTTGAATTCTCCTCATTTTCTGGTGTATATTCTGATCCACTATCGGAGTAGGGGTCATTTTCTATCGATATTCGATCTATATTTTCACTCATTGCTACGTAAAACCCGCTAAAACTTATATTTTTAGCATCGAGATAACATAAACAAACACAAAATGACTTACACTGATTGACATCTGAAATATTTGCATTTTTATTCGGTGGTTACAATAGGTGTCCCCATCTATTGCTGATATTGTCAAGCAGGGATTTGGGCGTTTTGCCCAATGAAAATATGAACTATAAAGTAACACTTAAAGGACTTAACTTAATTTCAAGAAAATATTAACTTAAACTGAATTACTTCTGAACCCTCCACTTATAGGTCGGAATCTACAGTTAAATATTTGCCTAATTGTTTACATTATTTCTATCTTCAGCCAATAGATGCCTAAACTTCTCAAATAACAATCTATTTGATATACTTCATCGGAAAATCCAATGGATACCTCCTCCGTAAAAAATATGTCCCGTTTTTCATGAGAGACTTTGAAATTCTCTTCCAAACAAGTTTTTCAATTTCCAGGGCGAGGTTAACCTTTTATATTCCTCTAGACGGCCACAATAGTCCCTTTCAAAATAAATTAGAAACAGATTGGAATGAAAAGTAGAAGGTTGCAGTTATACTACAATACGTCCCTTCTACATGATGATTGATTCTAAACGCTGCGAAAATAATATTGTAAAGGTATCTTTAAAAATAAAAACATTCCTATTTTTTGTTTTGAGGAAATCGAATTTTTAAGTACTCAAATTTGACTTTAAAGGTGACATTTAAAAATATATTTTTAAATATCTAGAAAATTACAATAATGATAAGTGTTAAATTGTACTTGACGTCTGTCTTAATTTCTTCAATACCGTCAGCTATTTTTAGTTTTGATAAACCCAACTTTTTTAACCAAACTCTTTTCTCAATGTAAGACAATTTCATTTATACAGGGTTGGCATATACTTTTCCCATGTTATAAAACCCAGTGGGTTTTTTCGGGTTTTTTCAATTGATAAAACCCACTATTATTGGGTTTTGTTCAAAAATAGCAAATTTTCAGTTGAATGAACGTCATATACCTACATATGTATTTCTGAATAAAAACAGAAACTAGCATAAATAACATGAAGTAAGTAGTAGGCGAATAGAAGACGAGAGAAACTGAAACTAAACTAACAAAACACTTATTTTAAATATGGTATATGGAGAAATATAAAAATAAACAAGTTTTTTGTTAAACAAAGCATATTAGTTATCAGGAAAATCAGAAATCAGAATTTGTATTTTCTTCACATTCCCATTCCTTAGACTTGGTTCTTAAATGATTATATATTTTTACCAAATTTGCAACTCTATGGGCACCTAATCTGTGCGAAGCTTAGTCCATATTAATCCATATGAAGAAAAAATCCGCTCAATAGATGCAGATGAAGCTAGACATGAGAACAAAGATAACATATATGTACAAAATTCATTTGGTATTTTATTTGTTTCTTTTTATTTTTTATTGATATTAGCTTCTACCATTTCTTTGTTGAGCATTTTCTGACCAGTTCTTCTTTGAAAAGTGTTGCGGGAAACTTTAATCTTGAACGATAACATCACTGCCAAAAACTCATCAGAAAGGTTTGATGCAACCCATTGTTCGACTGTTTCCTCTTCTTCCTCTGTAAGTCGTCTTCCCATGTACAGTCTGTTTGCTATACTTACGCGGGTTTCGGATTAAATTTTTTATGAGTATTTCCAGGTAAGTACCCGAAAGTTTGACCTGTTCTTTGGGGAAATATCAACTGGTTAAATGAAATGAAAAATAATGTACAACTTTTTAATTTAATAATAATGGAGAATATTTTGTATATTTGAGAGCAGAATTAAACTTCTGCATTAATGGAGTCTAATGTGGATATTATAAACCTAATAATAATTTTATATTACACTTCACACAGAAAATATTTTCTATGTATAATAAGAGGGTTATTTAGCTCAAATAAAATATTTTCTAACATAAAAATTTGTTCCATGTAGAGAATTTCAAATGAAAAATAAAGAAATTGAACTTGCCAACAAAAACGACAATCAGTCATTACCATGCTAAAGATCATAATCGTCATCATCATCACTGTCATCACCATTAATTGTTATTATGATTGGACTTATTTCGTTTATTTTATTTTCACGAGTCCACCAATCTTCTATTAGTTTCTCGCACTTGTATATACAGTTCCGCCACACTTCTGGAGTTGCAATTGAAAGTGCTTTTCGCCAAGTTTCCCGAACTGCGTCATCACTATAACCATTAGGCCCAATATGGTTGTCATAATATTGTTTTGCTATTCTCCATATATATTCGATGGGATTAAATTGGCAATTATACGGTGGCAGACGTAAAACTTGATGACCGTAATCTGATCCACAACAAGGGTTTTTGGTTTTGCGTGTATATTTGCCAAGCGTAATAATTCTGATTTGAATATATATTGAGGAAATGGTAGATGTTCCTTTGTCAACCATTCTTTAATTTTATCAACAGTCCAAGAATTCGTTGGACTTTTGTTTAATACTTCAGAATGGTAAGGTGCATTGTCTAAAATAATTACGCTGGGCTCACTTAAACCTGGAAGAAGTTTTTCATGCAACCATTTTACAAACATTTCTGTGTTCATATTATCGTGATAGTCACTGGATTTTGATTTAGATGAAAATATTAAATCAGCACCTTCTATAAAACCCGATTTCCCTCCTGCATGTAAAATTATGTGTCGCTTCCCTTCTCCATCGGTATGTTTGATGGGCTTTACGTTATCATCTTGCCATATTCTCTTGGTTGTACCCCTAGAAAATATCCATGTTTCGTCTAAATACATAAAATTCGCCACTTCTTCTTTAAATTTAGAATATTTTTTTAGAAAGTTAATTCTCTTGTGCACGACAGAACTTCTTTCACAAAGGGCATTTCTGTTATCCTCCTTTTGAAATTTAAAACCCAAATTATGTATCACTTGCCATAGACTTGTTCTGCCAATGTCGTCAAATTTTCTATCTATTAATTCCGAGAGAATTGTATTTAAGGTCACATGTTCCTTGTTGACCCTCATTTGATAAATGGTATCACGAATTTCAAATTTCTTTCCATCTGGAATATCTTTCGTTTTCAATGAAGGGCGAGTTTTGCGGTGATCTTCCTTCGGCAGATCACTATTGTGATTTTGTAATACTCCTCTTAATTTGGTTTCACTAATTCCTAGAGCATCGCATACGCGTTGTTGTACAGACATTACCGATTTTAAAGGACCGCCATTTTCTTTTTCATCCGTAAAATACTTATGTACACTACAAATTAGACTATCTACATCTAACACACGTCTAGGTATTTTTAAAATTTCGACTAAATTTACAATATACATACAATGTCAACACTTGCAAAGAATCAATTCAACTGCATTATTTGTAACAAATTTAGTCCTACCCTAATGTTATTTTAATTTAAATCTGACCATTAGGGCAATTTTACCTAATTTCTTGGGAAGAGGCTTATTGGAACTGGTTGTCAATGACTAATTTGCATAATTTTGTTAATCCGAAACCCGCGTAAGTATAGCGAACAGACTGTATTTGGGATCCATAGTATTTGCAAAAAGGTGAAATGGTTGAATGGCAAAGTCATATCTCTTTTCTATTTCTTGACATGCTGATGCACTGATGCCAAATGTATTTATTTATGTCAAGTTGCTTACTTTATTTTGTAAGCATATTTTGTTTTATTATTTTTGCAATAAGTCATAATTTTTGTAAAACTTTTGATAGAACAGAAACTATATATCAGATCTAAAGAAAAAACTGAAAATCCACAAAAATACCAAAAAAACCCCATAGAAACCCAAAATATCTCGTCGGGTTGGGCTTTTTTTGAAAAACCCGGGTTTTTTCCAACCCTAAATTTATTAATATTCTTACATAAATAAATCGATTTCTAAAAATATGTATAACTTATATTTGTATGAATTTGAAAAGTTTTTATATTTATATTTATTTAGTAATAATAAAATGTCTGTAAAACTAAAAGTATATATATGCTGCATTTTTCTTCCTGTGATGTATAACGGATATTTTAATAAATTTTATCACTTATTCACATGTTAAACCGTTAGGTTCTGGGTCACCAGTTATTAAGAGTTGATGCGTGATTCTCAGCCGCAAGAGAAGATTGTAGATTTCTAGATTACATAGGGTTCGCTAAGGTCAACAAATCAAAAGGAAAAAATACCGAAAATGAGAGAAAAACGCATAAATTCTGAATATTCTTCTTTAGACGAATAGTCTGGTTCAGTGTTGCCAGAATATATTTTTGTAATGTACCAGATTTATCTAAAAAATGTACCAGATTTCATAAAAATGTACTAGATTCTATAAAATTACCAGAGTTTTCTAATTATGAAGTATGGTTATTAAAGAGCAAAAAAAGGTTTATAGAGAACTCTCGATACATTTTTAACAATGTTTTATATCTCTAGCAATGTTTGTACAATATTTTATCTCTCGAGCATTTTCTAATAGTATATTATCGTTCGAGGAATATTTAAACAATGTTTTATCTCTCGAGAAATTTCTAATAGTAGGTATCTCTTCGAGTCAATTTTGAACAATATTTTATTTCTCAACAAATTTTTCAATAGTATTTTATCCCTCGAGCAATTTTTGAACAAGGGTTTAACATTTTGTAATACTATTTTACCTCGAGCAATTTTTGAACACGATTTTAACAATTTATAATACTATTTAATCTGTCGAAAAATTATTAAATACTTTTATCTCTCATTAAATTTCTAACAGAATTTTTATCCCTAGAGCAATTATTGAACAATATTTTACCCCTCAAGCAATTTCTAATACTATTTTATACTTCGATCAATTTTTAACACCCTTTTTTACCTCTCAAGCCATTTTTGAACAATATTTGATCTCTCGTGCAATTTTTAAACAATGTTTTATCTCTCGAGAAATGTCTACTATTTTGACCTTAGATAAATTTTGACCAATATATTTTACATTTCAAATGGAAACA